ATTACAACAAAATAAGGAAATCGCTACATGAGAAATCGAGTGAAAATCCAATGTTGTAAAAATTTGAATTTCAAACGCTCATAAAAATTTAATTTGACTGTCCGGTAGAGATTTTTTTATTGATAAAGGTAGATAATCTTATAAGGAATCTTGTGTTTCATTTTCAAATCTTAGATTTAAAAAGAAAAATTTTTACGAATTCTTAACTCAAAATAATTTGCTAATTTTCGTGATTTTTCCATATTTTGTCAATTTTTGAACTTTAAATGCTTATAAAAAAAAATTGTGACTAAGGATTTTTAATATTTTTCATCTGCCTTTGAAACAACATATTAGGAGCCTTCTATTAAATTTTCAAGCTTTCGCAACCAACAAATAAAATTTTATTGATATTTCTAGAAAAAAAACTAAAAAAAAATGAAAAATGAAAATGTCCCTAAACAGTTCAAAATAAATCAAAATATTTTGAAAATGTTATCGTGTATAGAAAATGCAAATATAAACAACCAGTGAAAATTTCATGTATCTACGGTCATTTGTTTTAAAGCTACACCAATAACCAAATTCGATTTTTTGGAAAATCGATTTTGCGTAAAAATTCCCGTTTTTCCTTAATTTTTATGTTGTTTTTCCCGGCGCTTGTGAAAACTACTGGAAAATGTTTATCTTTGACCCCCCAAAGTACCAACTAGATTCACTTTCCTATCAGAAAAGGTACTATTAAAGAAAATCGAAGCACTTTTACTGTCCCAAAACGTGATGACAGACACAAAAATATAAATAAAAATATAAATAAAAATATAAATAAAAATATAAAAATATAAAAACATACATCATTGTAAAACCAATACATTCATCGCTCCGCTCAGAATCTAAAATATAAAAACATACATCATTGTAAAACCAATACATTCATCGCTCCGCTCAGAATCTAAAACAAATGATATTTTCAGAGTAGGTGTAATAATATTATGTTATTATCATATAATATTATAGTAGGTATAGAATAGGAGCAAATAGGCAGATTTTTTCGAGACTTTAGATCCCCCTGTAATGTTTTCTAAAAATCATATATGCTAAGTACTTTTATTTTTAATTAAATTTTTTTTATTACACAATATCTGTTTACTTAAAGGAACAATAGATAAGTGAATCAGCAATGACAGAGAAAGAAAGAAAAAAAGAACAAGAATTATGGAGTAATGGTTCCTTTAATACTAAATTTTAATTTGGAGGGGGGCCTTGACAGAAATTTGGAGGGACTAAGTTACCTTAGGCTCATGTCCCTTCATCACTATTTACGTCAATGACGCGTATAGTGTAAATTGTATACTATTAGACACGATTTCCCATCCCTGTCCACTTAATTACTGTGTACCTAGTACCTGCAGAATATGTGAAACCGTATGTATCAGCAAATATAATAACATTAGTTATTAGTTAATAAAATATTTTTGGTTGTTTCATTAACCCACCCACCTATAGTTAAATGTATAATATATAAACACATAGTTGGTCATTTGGAAAATAATTAGTTATCTGCGACGTTACAGAATCAGCTGATTATTATGATCGTTAAGAGGACGCCACGCTATCCGTAATTTATTCATGAAAATATTTTAGTAAACTTACGGTTTAGTAGCTTTTTTAAACATACAAATAAGACATAATTTATGAATTTCGTAGCGTTTTTATTATTTTTATAACTTAAAGACGATCTAAATTATTGATTATTACAGATTTTTTTTTTCATTTCCTTGTTGAAAATTATTGAGTATTGATATCAAAGAAATAAACATGGTATGGCACGGATAAAGTTGCCCATCTTGTATGTATCATGAAAATTTGGTAAAACTTCTGTGAATAATGTACTTAACTCTGAAGTTTGTTCAGCAAAGCTGCTTGTGTATAACCTTAGTATAACACAACAAACATTGTTGATACTGACAAGGGACTATTTTAAAACTCTTTGAATTAGTATTTAAATATATAATATAAGGTAAAAAATTTTAATTCTTCTCAACATTGTATAAAACAAATGCCTATATCAAACCCCTTAAATAAAATTGTTCAGTGGGGCCCATATTATCTTCTTGAAGAATAAATAAAAATAACAACTATTGGATGTAAGCAAAAAACATAGTTCAATCCGTACCCGTGCAAAACATATATACTCGGATACGTAGGTTCTTCATTATTAATTGTGATTCGAATTTAAACTTTCTTTTTCGCCATTAACTTTTACAGAAATTCGAATAGTATAATAAGCAACTTTGTAAATTGTTTGAATAACCAACCTCGGTCGTTGTAATAGCTTGCATATAAATACATATAATATCAAACAGGTGAACGTGTTGAGTTTAACGTGCGCTATGGATTCATAATTCATATAATCATATATAATGAAATAAAATATAATACAAATTTAATAGTGGTTTTGTGTACTCCAAAGTCTACACAGGAGTCTCTATCAAACAAATGAAGAAAAAAATTCTCAACGTTCCTGACGACTACCGGTAGTTCCTAAACGTCGTTGTCGTCGTGTCAGCAATTTAACAATAAAATATATCTGTTTCCGAACGCGGTCGTATACATATTATAATAATATAGTGTTGGCGACTATTATTATTGCAGCCGGCAGTCATATATATACAGTATTATAATATATATATATATATATATAGTGTGGTCATGCGAATGGCGATGTTTTACGGTCTAGACTTGTTAAAGGCTATCGCCGTAATTGAAATACGTGACGTTGTGCGCTGGACGCGTTATTCACACACCGAGGTCCTGATAGATTATGGTGTGGGCGAGGGGAGCGGGGAGGGGGAGCGACAGGACTGAAAACGGGGTACGTCACACATACGACGGAGCAGTGCGCAGCTGTATGACAAGAGAACGACGACGACGATGGATCGTAAAATCATATTATACCATCAGCCGCCGGACTTGACCTTTCTCCCGCGCGTACGTGTGTATAATAATAATAATATTATAACGCGGAATTACGCTCCCCACCGACCACCACACCGCAACCCCTCACCACCCATCGATCGGTGCGGGACGGGACCGTATCGGTATTCGGCGCACAGACGTTTTACCACTGCAGACCGGAGCAGGGCCACGGCGACGACTATATAATATTTTCGCATACATAATATTATAAGTGAGCATTACAACAATATACTGGCGATACTATATAATTGCCGAGTGCGTGCGACCGTTTGCCGGAGATTAATATATTTTTTTTTTTTTTAAACGGACCGAAAATAAACCGCGACGGATTCGGATGAGCGAAGAGCCAACCCGAACGTCGGTCGTTTTGGCACGTTTGCCCGCGCGAGGTTCTCCGGTTTCAAAAATACGTGTCTTCCACCCGGTCCCCTCCGGTCCCCTCCGGTGCCGGTGGTGGCGGCATTTTATTATTCGTTTCGTAATTATTCATAATTTCGGTTTCGGCGTAAAAACGTCATCCCGGTTTTTACGACAATCTCATGAAGAGTCGTGCACTCGTGTGATGGCTTTGCGTATATGTATATATATATATTATATATACGTATAAAGCGAGCATAATGTATATATTTCGCTAACTATAGTCTATAATACACATACTTTTATAATATTTTACGTCGAACAGACAGACTGTATAATATTATTATATTATATGGTAGTAGTACAGTCCACCGGCGCGGCGTAGGCGATAATATTATATGGAGGCGCGAACGGCGTACGATGGAAATATTATAACAAAATTATGTTTTACAGACACACATAATACCTAGTACATAGCATACTGTGATATCTATAACATCACAGTCGTATATATATGGTAAGTGTGACGTTCAAAATAAAAACACCCTACAATCGCGTTTTCCGGTTGTAAAAACAAAAATCGACTCACGTAATATACAAGCACACGTACATAATAGGCGTATACGTTGTATATTTTATTATGTGCGTATAGCTATGACAGGGGTGCGGAACTGACATTTGTTTTAACGGCGGCGAGAAAAAATAATTAAAAATCCACGAGCTTCCTCCCGTTAGGATTGCGACAGTGAATTAATAATTATTTCCAGAAGTTTTAATTTTAACAGTGGAAAAAATACTTTATTCGTCGATTACACCGTCGACGCCATCGTTTTCATCACCGCCGCCGTGTTCTGCACTTTTTGTTTTCCGCGCTAGCATCAAAAGTTTTCGCGCTCGTGGTTCTGGGAATATTTCAGAGCGATTCTCTACCACACAAAGGTCTTCTGAATCTGAATAATAATTTATTTAACCAGAAATTTTGTGGCGTAACAATATCACGCCGATTGAAATACAAGTAATACTACAACGCTGCGCAGATATCTGCAGGGTACGTAATATAGCCTATAGGTACCTATTGTAGTATTGTACAGTCAAAGTGAAAACACGGTGTTCTATGAGTTCTAAATGTTCTACAAGATTGTAAAGAATTTTTGAAATTCAAACACTTACAACAATGAGAAAAATACTTGCCTTAAAGTATCTGTATAAAACTAGATTTTTATTTAATGATTTTGGTTCAACTTATAATAATAAGGAGTACCAACAAGAACATTATAGCAAAAAATATCTACTGCGAGATGATCAATTATTTAGCCTCCTATTGATTATATAGATGTAAATTAAATATATAATATAGATTTTTTTATAGTGTCAACTTGATCTACCAAAAAAAGCGATAGTGGTCATTTGGGCCAATATTATGTTTCCATATTGTTTCGAGAATCTAAGAACATGAGCAAGGGTTTTCATCATATATCGGTCTGAATTACTAAAAAAAATTAATCGGTGTAATCAGTTCCCATGTTCCCCTTCCTTGAAGAGCACTGTTTGTACATGTTAGTTATTACTTATTACTATACTCAGGCGGCGTATAACGTCATATTATAATATTACTATATGTACATTATTTCTTGCCGGAGATCGGACGCGGTGGCACAGGGGTAAGAAAATGATTAACTGCGCGCTCAAGAAGTCACAGTCAGATGAGCCGCAAAAAGACGGAGGCGTGCGGCAGTGCGGTTGTAAACATGACAAGAACAGAGGCGAATGCGCCGGCCGAGACAACGTAATAAGTCCGCGATAGCAACAGATAAATCATATAACCCAAGTCGCCCGGTCGCCGCGGCATCTGGCGCTGACACAGCGGCGGCGGGCGTCCCGACGCCTTTAACCTCTCTCCGGTGGCGGCGGTGTCCTTCCCGCTGCTCGTAGTCCCCCTCACCCCTCACCCACATTGCACCCGATGGATTTAAGCGGCAATTCCCTTATAATAATAACAATAATTCTGTTTTTGCATTGCACGCGCGATTTCTTCTTCTCGCTGGCGGGTCGCGTTCCGCTGTCATTATTTATAATATAAGTACGTTCGTCGGAACAACGATTTTTTTCTCTCCACCCCTCAGCCCGATCGGTCCTTCGCTTGGCCCCTTCGAAAGTCGTCACACTTATGCACTATACAACTGTGAAATTCATTAGGTTAGGATGTGTTATTAGGTTAACACCATGGTATACCGACCTCAAAAATAGCCATCCAAAATGCAGGTCTACGACTTTACCCTTACCATTTACATCAAATCAAATATATTATAAGCTCGTACGTCGTTGGCGTGGCGTAAGTATAACAGTTTTCAGACGCTTTTAACAAGTCTAATATTTCAAATTAAAATCCAATGCCAATTATAAATGAAACTGCCACCGCACACACCTACGGTGACAGAGGGAGAGGGATATGAAGTTTTGTACTATTTTTTTTAAATTTTATTTTACTAATCGGCACAGCTCGAAGTCGTTAGCACGACGGGTCTTCATCGGCTCGTCCGCTAATCGTCGTTCGACGTGAATTCGATTATATTATATACAGCTAGACGCTAGTAGGTACTTGGTTACACATTATTACTCTATGGTACATACTATACATGTTATAATATAATATATATATAAATGTACCTACCAATACAGCAAACTTGCAGTGGGGACGTAAATCGATTTCGTGTTCTAAACGCATTAAGCGCATGGCTATAATCTTAACTATATATTACGTATATGCATATAATAATATAGACACGTTTAATTCGTTTCGTTCCTGCAAATGACTACAACGACGACGCTAATGAACACACTAGAATCGGAAACGCGTCGCTGTTTCCCAGTGCGCAAGTGGTATATACACGAAACACGGAGAATGCGCGTTTACATAAACTTAATATTATTTTAAATAATGACTGCTATCGTTGTGTTGTAATTACGTCGATTTATTATATTATTACCCATTATAGGGGTTTCGTGATTTCACGGGTTTTTTGTGCGAAACATACAACTTACTGCAACTTAGAATAATAATGTATGCGACATAGCCACATAGGTACCGACACTGAGTGTTTCAGCCGTTTCAGGTATTTCCGTAAAAACTTTGAGGATAGTCTCAGGTGTCTTAGTGAAATCCAAAACCTATTTTACGTTTTAAGATTTTTTTAAGGGTACTCGACACTCGTATAACATATTTATTTTGTTCGATTTTAAAGTTATTACATTATAAAATGCACTCCAGCGTCAGAAATTCTCAAACATCATATTTTGGTATTATAACAAAATAGGGGTATTTGCAGGGGACGACATTTCTCGTGCAGATGTACCTATATGATATTGCAGTATAAGTTTTCGTTTACAACTGAACGAGATAGGTAACACGAGTAAAGTATTATAAATTCCGAATCAGTAAGAAGAAAAAAATAGGTTTTCCACTCACTAACATGAGATAATTCTCAAAGTTTGTACGGAAAAACCTGAGACGCTCATGAATAGTAGATATAGTACCCACTGATGGTGCATAACTCATAACAGGCTGTTTATTCGGTTTATAATTATTATATAATCATCTGGACAGTTAATGAAATGATTTGGGCGCGATCGATCTGCACTTGGGTTTTGACAAAGTTCGTGGAAGAAGCGAAAACCAAAACAATTCGCTTCAGCATAATTCAAATATTATAATCAACGTGTTGATCGTTAAACAATGGAGCTGCGTGCAAGACGGCCGTGTAACAATGTCACAATACACTTATATATATATAATATATATTGCTGTTGTAGTACCTATAATCTTTCTCTCTATATATATTATATATATTATTGTTATATTATATTATGCTCTGGCCTCTGATATGACATTTAAAAAGACGGTTTTGGTTTTTTACTCTTAATAAACGGTATTCACAGCAGAAATTATACACGTTTATTTTGTCTTGATACAATTAATCAACTCGTTATTGCCATTGTATTAATCATTTATTGTTTAAGCATTTCGATTATTCAGCGCAAGTAAAAATATACGTACATTAAACCCGTCATAATATAAATCCTACGAAATTCAAACATAAACATCAATGTTATTCATTACAATGACACACACACACACCAAATATATATATAGGTACGACAAATTTGGCACTCCAAAATGAACTACGAAGAATATTTTTGTTATGATAATATCCGAATCATTAGAAGAAACATAAAAAAATATCAACATAGATAAATTCGTAATATGAGTTCTGACAAATTGTATTGAAAAGTTATGTTTTTAATAGAGATTATTGTCTTTAGTACACGTTAGTTTGGTTATGACTAGTGATCATTAATTTAATATCCAATAGGTATAGGAATACACGTTTTTAGAATTGTCAAATAGTTTCGTTATTTTTAATAGAAATGGTTGTTTATATTTGATGCGGCATTTAATTTATATAAAAAAAACATACAGCCCTTTTCGACTAACAGTTATCTATAATATTACATAAAAATTATCAATAGGCAATGAAATGTCTCATTTTCGAGGAAATAAAATGAACTTTTATGATATACCTATTTTCTATAAAATATTATCTATATGCATAATGCATTACCAGTATATTAATTGCATCCATACATGGCACGCATAGTAACGGTATAGAAGCATTGCGTAGTTGGCCTATAATTTTTTACACGAATTTTAAGTAGTGTAGTGCACGCCCTCGAGGGTGAATGGTCCCTATAAAATCAGCCCGATCTGTTATACAACTTCCCGATAGCACCCTACAATTTAAGGGCGTAAACAGGAAGATGCTTGTCGAATTTAAATCTGTGAGGGACTAACACGTATGTGTCGTTTCTCACTAAATCCAATTTTACGGTTTAAGTAAAACAGACAGATTTAGTTTTAACTATTTAACTGTATACCCAAACATAAAATATAAGTATTTAACACTTTGTTTATGACATATGTCAATTATTTTTCAATGCAAATCATACGGTTATGTCATATAAAAATAGTCAAGAGATATATTAATATTTAGTGACTGTCTGCTATAATAAACTACAATGTCAAGATATAGGTGCGCATATCATTATTACGCCTACCATTAATTGAATTTTACGAAACTTTGTTTTCCATCATGATCGTATATCATGGACCATGGTGTATCTTATAGATTTTAAAATACGAAAATGTATCATTTAAATTACTATTTAAACTATCATATAATTCAGATACAAGATCCCCTGTTTGCACAATTGTACATATAAAATATGTGTGTGTGCCAACTATCCTCAAAAAAATCAACAGTAAAAGTTCACAATGACTTAATTCTTCTTTTTGACTGGATAAAAATCAATGTGTGAATATGTTAATCTCTGCAGATTGTCGAAGTCAAACGGATTATTTTAAACACCATATAGTATACCCCAGGGGTGGCCAAACGGTCGATCGCGATACTATATATATACCCTATGTACCCGAGTATGGTCAAGGTTAACGAGTATGAGTGACCGCGTTTACTGTTAATCTCTATGTTTTATACAAGTGGTGCACGACCTAGAAAGTCGTACAAAATATTTAAAGGAAAAGGAAAAACATAATATAATATGGTAGGACTTACACGACAATGGTCGTCACTGTCCGATTTCTTCGTTTCCGTACTGCCAGTGCTGCACCATTAAATTCACGACGATACTCTATCGAACGATTTTGGTCAATAATATAATAAATAATATAAACTTTAATATTATTAATTTACAGAAAGTGTTGTGCGGTGAGTAAAAATTCTGGCCCCGAATTGTCATCGATAACCAATGGTTTTCTGGTCACTGTCCTCGAATGTGACATATAACTATATAAGCCTTTACTACGATGACAAATCTTGAGCGAGCCTTCATTTATCTAAACCTCCAGTCTGCCGAAACACGCCTCATGTATATTATAGGATGCCGCCTTAAAATTATTCGCAGGTTCCTGCTCGTATGAGAAAAGCAACAGTTGTAAACGCCTCCACAACTCGAGAATGTACCTATTATATTGTATACGTGTTATGTGTGTGCATAAAGTAAACATTTTTAGAATATCCAAATAAAATAATCACGTGGCATACTTATATTATTGTCCAATTCCACCGTTTCGTATTATTCGCACAGTTGTAACATGTGTATAGTCGTATATACCTATACCTACTAAGTCCTATGTATACTTATTACTCACATATATAATATATATTGTGTGTACTGTCGTGTGCTGTTACATATTATTATCGTGATCGACAACGCCACAAAGGTATAATTTAGTAGGGTGTGAATCCAATAGGGCGAAAGACAAAAGCTCCCCAAATTCAGAATGTTATTTAGATAAAGACGCAAACAACACGTATACAACATAATTGAATACAATTTGATAGAGTAATAAGTAACGCCGATCGGGATAAGTGTATGGCTTTTTCTTTAATATTCATCCTAATAAAATTAATTAAGCGTTCATTTTGTGCTGTACCGTATATGTCTTGAACTCTGTGAAACAATATTATTTGTTGATAAAGATTAACTTTAAAACAAACAAAATTATAAATGAATAATTAAATATTATGGCATCAACAATTGTATAAAAACTATGATTTCTATGTATTGTAAATAATTGATATAATACACCATGTTGAAATATTTTGATATGATTTTGCACAGATTTGATCCACAGATGTCAACTCTATAAATTATGATCGATTCGTATACAGTATACACACATAGAATTATATCAATATATTATAAAGCACATAATTTACTAATACAAATATCGATAAGTTTAATATATATAATATAGTACTTCAAGTTGACGTGACCATTACTTGTAGTACTTGCTAAGTAAAAGTGATCTCCCTGTGGCTGCGGTAGCTCATGCGTCGCAGATGTGAGATGGACGTATACCACAATACACATCATA